AGACAAAGACCACAATTTCTTGAATTTGAAATGTGCAAACAAGGGAAATGATGCCTTAAATATAAGTAACATCTTCAAACAAATATCACTTTTCAAACTTGTCCCCCAACATTTCAAATTTCAGGAACCCCTAATCATTTCATGTTCCAATACGCACACAATTTCATCCTGGTTGTTGCAGAACATGAACTTGGCAGCTCATGATGTAAATTCGACTACTTGTGGCTGCCAAGACTCATCAACCTGCAGGTCATATAATTATAGGTGACTTCGCTATTGTTGACAATAACAGCCTTCGTCAGTTCTTCAAATATGGACCCAAATACAGTGAGCAACCTCATACCAAATGGGATCACAACTTTAAAATCATTATGGATGCTGTCGAAGAATATGCCAAAAAATGGGACAAAGGAGAAGACGAACCTATTGGATGTCTTTCAGAGCGGGTTACGTCGGTGCGTAATGTACATGTTGTCATTGGTAGAATGCACACTCTTAAAAAGAGGAAACAGAATTTGAATAAACCCATTCTTTTCCAGACAGCTGCCATCCAAAGTCTGGCTGCCCTACATGAAAAGTTTGTAAAGTACTGTTGTAAATGCTAGAAAATTGTTTTTCTGACTTCATTTAATAATACGGGTCATAGAACCATAAAAGAGCATATATCAAAATAACTCAAATTGCCCTAATCTAGCCTGTCCTAACTGACACTGTGATATCATATTCGGCATTGCATGAATGCTTTTTTGAAACACGTTTTGTCACGCCTATTTTCGCGCACCTGTTGTGGAGGGTGATCATTGCCGATCGACGATATCTATCGACGTTTTGCCTGGGACACAATTATTATAGTGAAAACAAAATCATCAGCGTGTACATCGCAGATGCATGAATCATTTCCATTAATATTCAACGTCACATCGAATGGTGACCCTTATTTCACAACAAAAGTTCAAATAAAAAATACCGAGAAACTTGCATATGGCGTGTTGATTCATCTTCTGTCGTTTCCGGGTCACGGGAGCATGCAAGGAAATGTTAACATAGTAATGTGTAGTTTTCTATCAGGAATAAATGTGCAAAATATTTCGTCAATGAAGCACCGACTGTTTGAAATCGCCCACCCTCTTTACAGCGCCTTATGCTAAAACAATTCAGCAGGCTAATAAAGGTTTATAAAGGCAAAATAAGATGAAATGTATACGCGTTTATGAATATGTTAGTAATATAAATCATAAAGCTATTATGATGATGATTATAGCACTGTGAATGTCAGTCGCCATTACGTAATACAAAATTGTCAATAGTCAGATGTCCAGTTGGCATTTTTTGTCGAATGACTTGGACAACAATGCAAGAGATCGGTCCATTATTGTTGTATCATGATTAACAGAAGAAAAAGAAGAAGAGGATCGGCCCAGTATTGTTGTATCATGACAAACAGAAGAAGACGATCGGTCCAGTATTGTTGTATTATGGCTAACAGAAGAAGAAGAAGAAGATCGGTCCAGTATTATTGTATCATGACAAACAGAAGAAGTAGAAGATCGCTCCATTATTGTTGTATCATGACTAACCGAGGAACAACAAAAAGAAGATCGGCCCAGTATTGTTGTATTGTGACTAACAGAAGAAGAAGAAGAAGATCGGTCCAGTATTGTTGTATCATGACCAACAGAAGAAGAAAACGATCGGTCCAGTATTGTTGCATCATGAGTAACAGAAGAAGAAGAAGAAGAAGATCGGTCCAGTTTTGTTGTATCATGACCAACAGAAGAAGAAAACGATCGGTCCAGTATTGTTGCATCATGACTAACAGAAGAAGAAGATGCAGTTTATTCAGTATCAAAGGCCATATGGCCAAGAGTACAAAACATAAGATACACATTTTGCGCACGGACAGGTGGGCCAGAAAAATGTACACAAAACAATATTTATAATGCCTTATATGGGCAGTGTTCTTTTCAAATATACAGCAATATTGTTATAAGCTTAACATGTTTTGTTGCTAACAGTTGATTGAATTTTGCGCGTGATGGATGCATGTTATAGCAAGTTGGCATATACAGCTTTCTGTCTTCCAAACTAAAGAAAAACGTATTCATCTTCGAATATATTATTTCATTTATTGCACTTAAGTAAATCAGTATTGTGATTGTGACGAAGCTGTTGAACACTCACCTGATTGACAAAATATGCGGATACGATCTTTGTTTTGACGTTAACTCCATTATGTATTTCACTGGTTTGAGTACAGAGTCTATGGTTGGCGAGGCGAAGCAGCAGTTCTTGTCAAGGGTTTTGCCATCTGGGTTCCATATTGGTCTCAACAAATAATTCACACTAAATGTAGAGGTGATCGTGTAAGTGTGTTTTTGGACAGTAATGCATTAGGAATAAACATTGTATCAAACGAGCCATAGCGACAGATAATGTCACTTAAATTCTATCGTCACATACGTTTCCTAAGTTTGCCTGGAATGTGCAATGGTTGGCAAATACTCAGAAGAAGTGCTTGGATGTTTGCAATCTCAGAAAAGAACAGCTCATTGATGTCAAAATATAATATGTCATCTTCAAAGGTTCGGGAAAAGTCGTAAAAATATGAAGGCAAATGCCAAGGCAAGTAGTAGGCCCAATTGTGTTCCCCAATCTCTATGCATACGGTTCAGAATTTCTGTTCGGTAAAAAGCGACTATGCCTGTCGTAAGAGGCGACTAACGGGATCGGGTGGTCAGATTTGGTTGATACATGTCATCGTGTCTCAATTGCGTGAGTCGATGCTCATGATGTCAATCACTGGATTGTCTGGTTCAGACTCGATTATTTACAGGCCAATTAGCTGTAATATTGCTGAGTGTGGCGTTAAACAACAAACAGACAAAGGTCAAGGTTATGATAACTCTGAGTACTGAACGAAATAAGAGTACGTATCATATTCAACCTGTATGCAACGTTTAACAGCAGTATTCCAACGGAACCACAATATCCATGTCTTCCTGGACCTTCCATATCACCAGATTGAAACCCGATATATAGAATAAGTCACATCGCAGCAGACGACAGCGTCATCCTGAACTACAGACACTACAACAACTTGCACAAACATGCCCTACTGTTTGAACAGGCTGGCATCCCAACGTGGGACACCACCACTGACGACGTTGTTGCGTTAAAACAGGCCATCTGGTTCCGCCCTGTCTGTTAGTTATCCATCCCAAACCTGACATTGCTGTTGTTCCTCGTTTGCAGCAAATGCCGTATCTGTATGAAGCAGTCCTGGGCAGCCGATATGACATCGGTTCGGCAAGGAGGCAAAACATGCCCTTGTTACCCACACAAGTGTTAGTGGTCTGGGACACATTAAATACTTTGGCTACAGTAGGCTGAGTGTTTCTTTCTTTCTATCACCAACAACGGTGTTCTGATGTGCCAGTCAGGTGAAAGACGTTAAGTTAGACAACTGAAATTCCCCAGTGTTGACTTCTCTGTTACGTTTTGGTTGCAGCGTTTTATGAATCCAATAATAACATTAAATATGTGGTTAAATGACATCTTATTTATGCTTCACATATCGTTAATGTGTTTTATAAATAAACTGCAAGTGATTCCATGGAATTTGATGACCGAGTAATTTCTTTTTCATTTGTGTTTCCACGAGCTATAACAAGTAAGCCATGCCCAATGGACGATGTCACGGATTTCATATTGTTGTCTACAATGTTTTGTGTTAATGCGTAAACAAGCAGTTTTTGAATTTATTATTGTTGACTTTAATATGAACTCTCTTGACCACGGAGGTAAAATTGGGTTTAACGTCGCGTCCAAGATTATTGCACTTATATAGCGACGTGCATGCACGTGTGTGTGTGGCTGCTTGTACTGGTCCGGACTGATGCCGATTTATAGTGCTAGCTCACTGAGATACCATGCCGCAGTTTAACATGAATACCTCACTCAGACACAGTATACTGACTCCGAGCCGACCAGTCCTTGTTTTAGCCCCTTAATGCCGAGCGCCAGACATAGTAACAACAAGTACCATCTTTTAACGTCTTTTGGTATTACGCGGCCGGTTATCGAACCCCGGACCTTCCGCTCTCCGGGCGGACGCTCCCCCTCTTGACCACGGAGGCGGTCTTCACAACAAGTGACGTGCAAATCACGTTTGAAGGAACATGCGCGTAGCAATTTTACAGTCGACTGTATAATGAGCAGCGTTAAGCAGGTATCGTCATGATCATAGTGAGTTAGTTCACAGATATGTTTAATAGCGATGATCGCACAAGAGTCCAATGGGGTTTGAGTCTGGTGACCGCATAACGGAATCGTTGTGCGCAGCGATGAATTCCAGGCGAACCTTTTCAATGTGCGGCCTACCTTTGTTGTGCTGTACGAGTTTTCCCTGCTGATGTTGGCGAAGGAATGGTAACAGCATGGGTTGAACGTCATCATTGAAGATCTGGTCGTCGAGGTTGCCATGATGTCCGTTCCAAAATATCCCCCCACCCCTTAAAACCCTCCCTCCACCGCCACGATATGGATGCACCTCAAGAATGCAGCCTAGCGTCAATCGTGTCATCAAATTATCTCTTCATTAGTCAGATGAGCTAAATAAGTTGATATATTGTCTGTTCACAGCTGGTACGCGATGCGACACACCCAGGTCATTACAACGTGAGACCTGTTGGTTTGACAGAAAGTCAATAGGACGTTTTAGAAAGGGAAAATTTATGGATCTGAAATCTGTAGTTTTATCAAATATTATATTTTTTATAGCGAAGTGAAACAGTTAGGCGATACTACATGCATCATATCAATGAGTGTCTCACAACAGGTGACGTGCACATTACGTCTTAATTAGGAACACGGGGGTCGCAATTTCACTGTACACAGGAGAGATATTAGAATGGCAGGCATTTTCTTTTGCCCGGTTGTATATATAATATATATATATATATATATAAGGGTTTCAGTTCCCATGATGTTCCCAGTCGCCATGTTGGTTGTCAACCTAAACAAGCGCGAAACGTAAACACGCCGGAGAATTATTTTCAACCTGCCGTTATGCCTGTTTCGTGTGCGGTTATAAATTGCAGCAATCGTGCAAACAGAGACAAGAAGAGTTTTTTCAGATTCCCTGCTGTAATCAATAACAGTGATGAGAAAACGAGGGATCTCAGTCAGAAGCGGCGCCGTTTGTGGTTGGCAGCTGTCAACAGGGAAGATCTCGCATTCAAGGACACCCGATACATGCGTGTGTGCAGCGATCATTTTGTCGGCGGTAAGTTTGAAATGCGTATGACAGGTAGGTTTTTCGTAGTGCGAAATTATGTTCCGCCGTCCTTCGAAACCGAGTATGCTTTCAATATTTGAAACGGATAGAAGGTAGATTGTGGTACGACATTAATAAGTTTTTTTAAATTGTCTTTGCAGTAGCATTTTTAAGGTGACAATATAACTATCCTAGGTGATCAGTGGTCATTATTTCAACCAGGCCATCAGGCTAAATGTTGTCACTGATAACTGTAAACAATGTGGAGCATGTCTGAACTGCATATGCCTCCATACAATTAATTGTGTTGTTGTGATTGTAAATACGTCATGGTTAATGTTAATAAATAAATAATCTTCTCCAGGTTCTCCATCAGCCCTGTATCAGGACACCCATCCAGGTTGGATACCTAGTGTGAAACTTGGCTATGACAAGGGCGACAAAGGCGACATGGGTTCTCGTTTCTTCCGTCTACAGGTAAACTTAACTAAGAATGTTAATTAGGCTGATTGTGGTTTGTCTAGTGGTAGAAATATGGCACACACACATGGGAAAAAAATTAAGGGTTGCAAGGTTAATTTATTGTTGCTATAAAGCATAGGTAAAAAAACGTACCCCCTCTATCTTCATTTGGTTACATTAGGTTTATTGCCAGGACTTCTTGAGTTTCATGTTTAATTTTGAACACTGTTTGGGATAAAAATATGAAAACATCAATGTCATGCTTTAAGTGTACATGTTATCTCAGTGTAATTAAAATACATGTATTTTACTAAAAATTACTGCTCTTTGTTATTTAGGGACGCAAGGAGGCGACACGACTCCTTGACCTGCGATTTGATGAAGAAGAGCAACAAAGTGAGGCAGAACCGGATGCTGAACATGCTGAACCAGTGGATCAGGACATTACACCTGAAGAGGAACTTAAAAGTTGCAAGATTAAAATTAACATTCTTAAATCAGAAAATGAATCTTTAAAACACGAGAATCTTCTACTAAAGAAGATAGTGCATAAAATGAAAGCAAATAATACTGAAGATTTTGATGGTGATGATGATAAAGTACGATATTATACTGGTCTACCATCCTTTGTATCACTACTTGCATTGTTCAATCTAGTATCATATGGAATTAGTCAACCTTCACATTCATCACTGAAAAAATTTCAAAAGCTTATTATTACACTAATGAGACTCCGATTGAATTTACCCACTCTTGACCTAAGTTATAGGTTTGGTGTCAGTAAAGCTACTATTTCCAGGACATTTAATCAGGTGATGGATGTCTTGTACATCAATTTGAAACGACTTGTATTCTGGCCTGATAGAGAAAAATTATGGAAAACAATGCCAATGATATTCAGAAGGTATTTTGGACGCAGAGTGTCTGTTATAATAGATTGTTTTGAGGTTTTTATTGATAGGCCATCCAATTTGACAGCTCGAACGCAGACTTGGTCAACGTACAAGCATCATAATACTGTAAAGTATCTTATTGGCATCACTCCCCAAGGTTCTGTAAGTTACATTTCTGAGGGATGGGGAGGTCGTGTTAGTGATAACTATTTGACAAGTAATAGTGATTTCACCAACCATCTTTTACATGGTGATATAGTATTAGCAGATAGAGGCTTTGATATACAAGAAATTATTGGTTCTTGTGGTGCAGAGTTAAGGATCCCAGCTTTTACACGAGGTAAACCACAGTTAAGTGGCACTGAAGTTGAGGAGACAAGAAAGATTGCCAATGTGAGAATTCATGTAGAAAGAGTTATTGGTAGTGTCCGTCAAAAATATATGATACTCAGCAGCACTGTTCCCATTGATTACCTGATGACCAAGAGTACTGATGCTGTTCCACTTCTTGATAAGATTGCCCATGTTTGCTGTGCACTTACCAACATGTGTCCATCAGTTGTTCCATTCCAGTGAAAGTTTATTACTTAGACTTGTAAAAGATTAAATACAAAAACAAAATGTCGTGTGTTTAATGATTTCATAATTATTATGATTTAGGAATAAAACCACCTAGACATGTTTAGTGTTACCTAAAATCCCATTGTATTGCATAGGCAATACATCTGATTCAGATTAGCCCATGTTCATTCTGTGCCAAGCACCACTGTGGTTCACTTGAAAAAATGTTTCAACAATATGAATTGATAATTTCATCATGGATGTATTATCATTCAAACAGGTCATGCAGTTACATCAGATAAAACTAATTGTTAATGAAATAACCTCACATTGAAATGTGATTACTGATATTTCTTTTAACTTGGTGATTTTGCTGCAAAATTATCTTGAACAAGTGTTAGTATGTCTTTGACCTACTTGGCAGATCAACAGCAAATATTTCATACATATGACTTTGAATTACTGATCCAATGTACAATCTGTCAAATGTAGGAATAAATCTAATTCTGAACATGAGAAATGGTCAGTATTTTTTTTAGTTTTAATTTGTACATTTTGTATGCGCAACATTATAACGCATGAATATCCTTTTGAGAACAAGTTTCATTAAGACATGGTTTGCCAGCTCAGTTACAGAACAGTGAGGACTGAGTCACACTGAAAAGTTAAAAGGATCAGGTAAAGTTACTGAAATCACACATCACTCTTCACTATTGTGTTTGCGCTTCGTTCCTTTGTTATTTGAACAACAATCTTTACAAAACCATTTTCCTTTTGGTTTTCGTACAAGACCAACACACTTGAAGTGAAACCATCTCACTGTACATTCTTTCCCATCGCAGCCAACATACTTGCTTCCATCTTCTGGTGTCCTGCATGTACAAAACAGTTCTTCCCCAACACTTTCTGGAGCAACCCTTTCACATGTGGTGTTCAAGAAGTGTCGTGCAACAATCTCTGGTAGAATAACAGATGTGAAGAACTGCATCGCCTGATCAGCTACTGGTTGCCAGAAGGCCACACAAGGTGTAATTCTCTCCATAAAAATATCATCATTTGTCCAAACAACAAAGTCACAATAATCATGATTTGTTACAAATAGTTGTGTTTGCACCTGGTTATAGTACTGACTGTCCCTTTTCAGTTGCAGTGACCCATTAACTTTCTCTAAGTATACTATATTGTTATCAATTAAGTCATCCTTTGCACAGTAAGGACATTTAATCTCAAGGCAGCCCCTTCCACAACAGCTACAGTCAACAATACCACCAGGAGTTGCACCAAGATACTCACAGCTAAGGAATAAACCACATTCCTCAACACTGAAGTTATGGTGATGCTCACAAGATAATTTCTCATAGGCATCCCTTGCTGTTACCTCATGGCTGCATCCCCATCTTGTAGCTGGATTAGAAAACTTGACCTCAGTCGGGTAACAGATATGGCGAAGTAAACTCCTAGAAGGGTCCAACAATGATGTACGACTTGCGCTTTTCATCTTTGATGCCGTTATACGTCCAGCCCTGAACTGAAACCAAAGTGGGGAACCTGCTTGGTTCTTTGTTGCTGCTTCAACTGCTGTAACCTCCTCTTCTGTGATGCTCAGCTGATCTAAAACATTCTGACAGTGTTCTAAAACTTCATTATATGGGATGCCAACTAGACTTTCATCAAACAGCTCAGGAATCACTTGTGGAAATTGTGGTTGTAGTGGTACAGGTACATATTGATCACTATAATCACTATGAACTGCTAGACAAGATGGTCTGTCTGCATTAATAATATGAAGAAAGGTGTCAAAATTCTGTGTAGATGCAGGTCCTAACTTATGGGTAAGTTTAGCACTCGATGAACTTGAACATGTAGCAGATGAATCATCAATTAATAAGTCAAGTTTCTTCTTCAATGTCTTTGAAGAGGTAAAATCAATGTCTCTTAAAGATGCATATTCAACCTTTTTCATCAAAGCTGGAAGTTTCCAGTAGGCTGGTTCCTGTGTTACGGTGGTACTTTCCCTTAGTCTAACAATAGCTTCAACAGCAAACATCACACTTGCTACATGTGTGCACGATTCTCCCAAACCTGCCATACAATTGGGCTGACAAAACTTTGCCCGTGTCATCAGTGATGAACCAGGGGTGCAATGGAGCTTCATTCAAGCGCTGGGAATGCATTACCTGTAAACATACAGTGGAGGAGTTAATTTTATTTCAGATATAAAATTTACATTTAAAAAGTGAATGAAAATGATAGTATTCTCAATTCTAATACTTCATAATAATGGACTGAGCATTTAGACGTTTCATGAAAGGATTGTGAAGGTAATTTGCATGTGTATAATTTCAATGACTTGCTGAAGACATTTTGGATTCTGTCTGAAATATTATCTCCAGCTGTTATTTAATTTGTCTAACCGCTTTATAATATCCACGTAACCCACCCGAATGTTATCACTACGTAAACACACATTTATGTATTGGCTTGGCTCTTGTACAGTAGCAGTTGTATAGGATGTAGGTAAGCTGTTGTTTACTTACTTTTGACTTCACAACGTGAATGGCCTTTCCATCTTCGACGGACAAATGCACATACGAGACAATGTCTCGTACCCAACCACATACAAATCTATCATATGCTTCCAAGCTCCTGTAGTTTCTGATGTCTGATAAACTACCAAAAGGACTGGGACTGAATACCAGATAGTTGACGATGTCGATGTAGTTAGTTGCCGGCAAATGCTTGTGGTCGTCACTCCATTTCGATTTCGGAATCCTGTACGGATCTTCTTTGTCGATCACACCAGTCTTCTCGTGATATCTTATACGAGATACTTTGTCCAATAAATTAGCGTAATTATCCATTACAGACGATTGCGAGATGACAAATAGGAGCAGATAGACGCCCACGATTGCAGAGCGAGTGTGCTGCTAATGACGCTATATTGTTGCTAGGGACGCGAATACAACCAACATGGCGGCGCGCACGGCATGACGGGATAACTCTGAAAACCCTCTATAGTAATAATTAAATAAGTGGAGTAAGATTGAACACAGTTTAAATAGGCTAGCGCTTTCAACTCGTACCACGTACGAGTCTCATCAGGCCATAACTGAATAACGGACATGAAGTAGTAACATATAGTTACGTGACGTCATAACATTTAGGAAACTATGACGTCACAATACCAAGGTGACAATGGACAAATAACTTACGCCTTTACATTTAACTTAGGCGCGTATTTATGAATGAAATGTTGCTCTTTTTGAAACAATGTAGTTTCATGATCAAAATTTAGCTTATATAGCGAGACTAAAAAGTTTGCCATTTAGAACTCCAAGGAAAGGGGGTATGGGCTTTCAAGTCGCCTAAGGCGCTGCAAGAGAATTCAGTGGTCGTGGGTTCGAATTCCTGGTTCGCCCCGTTTTTATGATCTGGTTGTAACAATTCCTGTTATCGTGGATTTTGATCAAGTGGAAAACCTTACGCCTGTGTCGTGTTTGGCCTCCGTCCGACATTAATGTTGAAATGCCATGTTACAACCGAACTACTGCTCAAAACCCCCTGGATGCCACAGGGACATATATGTCCCTCCTCTACAACCCTCACTTTGAAGTCGAATAAAATTCAAAATACATCGCCCTAACAACTCCACTTTACAGTTTTAAATAAGGTGGGGAATTCCCTGTTCTGTGATATCATCCACTGGCATTTTAGGCCAAGCAAAAGTACTGAACATGACCTCTGAAAATTAGGTACATCGTAAATGTCGCCATTTTTTACACATTACTAAATCACCACTCACGGCGTTATTTAAAGTATGTTTTGAAATCTAACTTTCGGATATTTACTCGGAGAATTGAATTTCAAAAATAGCATATTAGTAATCACGGGTATCTGTCTTTTATGAAATCACCAATGATCATTCCAAAACGGCTCCGATAACCCTAGAATCGTTTAGAATGATTTGGGAAAAACGAAAACACGAACGCCGAAGTGAACTTTCCGCCATATTGGATAGTGTTTACAAAATCACGTTTCAGGTACACCGGTTATGAGACGCCTGTAACATCACGTATATTTCAAACTTATCTGCGATACCTACATCCTTGAATTCCTCATACATTTTAGAATCAAATGACCAGTGGTCTTTGTCACCAATACAAAGTGGCTAGATGAAATCAAGCAAAATACGTTAGGTGTGAAAACGAACGCTGTGCTCGAAAAACTGCACATGGTTGAATTGTAAACAAAGCAAAATTCATATTTTACACAGTGTAGCATATTCTCCTATTTTGAGCTATCCATTCGTCTATTCGTTCAAGATATTGGCTCAAAATTTTCAGAATATGCATGGGAAGAGAATCGTAGGAAGAATTAGGGAATTTCAAATAGATACATTGCAAAGATTTGATATTTTCAACAGAAGTTGTCAAAGTTACCGTTCTGGTTGACGCCATGACTGACGCAAAATCACGCACAACGACAACGGTATTTACCGGAATTTCTGACTATTTCCGTTTGTCTCAATGAAAATTATGACAACAAATAACAGTACATAGATTGTCAGAATGTTTCTGATTACTTACATGTCACATTTATGTTTATACGATCCCTGAATCAACGAAAGTCCCATCGTACAATCCCGCGTACTGTTGAAAGTGTACACGCCATTTTGTAAAAGTGGGTCACAGGTAGTGATGTCATACGTCAACATTGTTGTACATATTTGGCAATTTCTTTGAGGTGAAGGTCCTTGAATGAGAGTGCACACGATCACAGTATCATGCTGTTTACAGTTTCAGTTATGGTGTATATTTTGCATGTCTTTTATACATTTTTTCACACAATTAATTTCACTTTGGATATTTGTCAATGTTCAAAATGAAATCATACGTTCATATAGGCCACAACATGTATGAACGAACCTTTGATAATCTCCTGTTTGTTTGAACATTAATTGTTTACATAACAATGTGATAGGTTTATAGTGTCGACTACGATATTTCTTTCCTTTG